CCCAGCTACTCGGGAGGCTGAGGCAGAAGGATTGCTTGAGCCCAGGAGTTTGAGGTTGCTGTGGGCTGATGCCATGGCACTCACTCTAGCCTGGGCAACAAAGCGAGACTCTTTCTCAAAAAAAAAAAAAAATCTTTGTAAAGTGGAAAATTGTTTTGTAATATAAATCACCCTCTTTTTTTTTTTTTTTTTTTACCTTAAGGATATCTTGGGCTTCTGAACTTAAGGCAAACCAATTTAGAATCATTTGAGTTACTGTCTATTTTATTTACTTTACTAGAATACAGTAAATTAAATTCTAGAGTCTCAAAAACAGAGGTTATGCCTCCTAACCAGTAGTAATTTGAATATATACTCTGGATTCTGATTTACCCTCTTCATGGTGTCCTTTCTTTGTAGAAGCTAAGACAATTCTTCATTGAATTATTTTCTCAAACAGTTGAAGAGAACTAAGGAAATTACTTGAAAAGATTACATTTTATTGACACCAAGGATACTTAGACTACATTACCAAAAAAATTTTATGGCAATATCAGTAGTGTCTTTTAAATTAAATGACAAATTGGAAGTGTTTAACAACATATGGTCGCTTTTCCTTGACATATATGATTAAGAATATATCTTTTTATCAAAATGTAAAATACCATCTGGCAGAAGTAACAATTATTCTATTGGCCTTATACATTAAATTAATTCACTGTACTTTAAAATGTAAATATTTTCCTATTTTTTCTTTTTCTTCTGCTTGATCTATATTTATTTATAATGCTCAAAAACTGCATAACTCATAAACTATAATTAGATATAACAATTAAAGCAGATTTTAAATTTTGAACAGAAAACAATGTGTTTCTTAAATTCTTTCCAAACGTTTCTTAAAAATTCAAATGGCAACAGCCCTTTTTTGATATTCATGATTGTAAAACTTGGTTATCTGAAAATTTACTCTTAAAATTTCTAATTAGACATACAGTCAGGCTTGGTATAGGAAAGTAGTTGTCCTTAGAGCTCTTTAAAAATAGGAAGAAATTTTAATAATAATATTGATGCATTTTAAGGTTTTTAACATGTATGCAGTAATGCTACCAGCCAGAGTCGTTTGTTCATTTAATAAACCTGCCAGGTTCAGAGGATACCAAATGAGCAAGAAAGTTTCTGATACAATATACATCACACACTTCATAATATGAATTTTTGTCGGTTTTTTAGTTTAGAAAACATATTAAACACTTCCCAATTCTGTGCACTATACTGTTCCCCAAAACCATATTGGGGCTAACTCAAAGAATGAATGCTTTAAGCATTAGCATGTAATATATCAGATATGTAGCCATGTACATTTCATAAATTTTGTTTTTAAGGAATTATTTCAAGAGGAGTCACATCTGGATTTAAAATGTTCCTGATCTTTTTAAGAATTCTTAGCAAGCAAAGTAGTCAGATGAGTATCTCCAATATTCAAGATAATTGTTTTCTTTTTATTGGAAGCTATTGATTGGATGAGCACTAATTTTTGTATCTACCATGGTCATGCCATGCTCTCTGCTATGAAGAAGCTTAAAGTTTAGATGGCAAGGCAGAAAAACAAATCAAGGATTATAGAATAGAAGTATAGAGTAGGATAATATGAGTGGGTATTGACTGACTACCTCCCCCCAAAATGGGAGTGGAGTGTAGGGAGAGAAGATGGGGGAAGGACATTTTAGATAAGAGAAAAAATAGGTTTGAAGATTCTAAAGTATAAAACAATATAATTTAACTGCAAATACTTTGGTATGGCTGAGGGAAAGGGGGAAACTAACAAATTTGAAGGTTTTTTCCTTCTTTTAAAGCAAATTCATAGAAGCATAAATATTATACAATAAAATGCACCCATTTTTAGTGTACAGTTTGATAAATTTGGACAAACTACTACCACAATAAAAATACAGAACGTTTTCAACAACCCAAAAACTTCTTTCATGCCCCTGTGCAGTCAATCCTCCCACCTAATGCCACTTTGAACCACTAAGACAACAACTGATCTGCTTTCTGTTACTATATATTTGATTTGTTTAAAGTTTCATTAAAATGGAATTGTATAGTACGTACTCTTTTGCATCTCACTTCTTTTCCTCAGCGTGATGTTTTTGAAATTCAGTTGTGTTGTTGCATGAATTATTTTGGTAAATATTTAAAGTGAAGTTGGTGGGTCAAATGGTAATTATATTTTTAAAGTTTATTTTTAAAATGCTGGAATAATTTCCAAAATGGTTGTGCCATTTTAGTTACTGTTTGCACGGCATATTTTTTCTACCCTTTTACTTTCAACCTATTTGTGTCTTTGAATCTAAAGTGTATCTCTTGTGGAAAGCATATAGTTGGATTTTTTTTTTAGTTCATTCTGCCAATCTCTGCCTTTTAATTGGAATGTTTATTCCGTTTATATTTAATGTAGTTACTCATAAGGTTGGATTTACATTTGCAATATTGTCATTTGTTACCTTTATGTTCTATGTCTTTTGTTCCTCTATTTATTACTGCTGCCTTTTGTTATGCTAAATACATATTTTTGTGTACCATTTTAATTCTCTTGTCCTTTCTTTAATTAAATATTTTTAAAGTATTTTCTTAGTGGTTGTTCTAGGGATTATGGCTAACAAGTTATAACAATCTAGTTTGGATTAATACTAACTTTTAGTATATAAAAACTTGTTATAAGATAGCTTCATTCTCTCCCCTTTCTTCATTTCTTTCTTCCTCCCCACTTTGTTATTATATTAATTATATTCTTTAAACATAATGTGATCATCAACACAGATTTATAATTGTTGTTTTATGCAATCGTCTTTTAAATCAAATAGAAGAAAAAATAAGTTACAAATAAAACATATTTTTACTGCCTTTGATATTTATTTATATAGTTACCTTTAGTTACAGATGTTCTTTATTCCTTCATGTGGATTTCAATTACTGTCTAATGTCCTTCCATTCAGCCTGAAGGACTCCCTTTAGTATTTCTTATAAGGAAGATTTCCTAGTGACAAGTTATCTCTATTTTTGTTTATACATACATTTTGGGAATGAATTAATACTTACTTCACTTTTTATTTTTAGAGATGGGGTCTCACTCTGTTGCCCAGGCTGGAAGGCAGTGGCATCATCAGAGCTCATGGCAGCAGCGTACTCCTGCATTCAAGCAATCCTCCCATCTCAGCCTCTCCAGTAACTGGGACTGCAGGCCTATGCCACCAAGCCTGGCTAACCTTTTAAATTTTTTTGTAGAGACAAGGTCTTGCTATGTTGACCAGGCTGGTCTCAAACTCTGGCCTCAAGTGATCCTCTTGCCTCAGCCTCCCAAATCACTGGGATTGTAGGTGTGCCTCACCATGACTGACGTCTCCCTCATTTTTGAAGGACAGTTTTGCTGAATATAGAGTTCTTTTTTATTTTTATGCTTATATTTTCAAAACTAGACATTTAAAATAATATACTGTGCCTGCTCTGGAAATCACATTGCACCCCTTCCCCAGGGATTGCTATTGTTTCTGTTGGAATAGTTTCTGGCTTAGTGACTTTTCTGAACTCATTGTTTTAAAGTCTGTATTCTTTATTGTGTGTGACCACTTAAGTTTTTGTTCAGTTAGCTTAGTAGTCAGTTCATAATTGGACAGTTTCCTTGAAAACTTTCAACTAATAAGACTCCCAGTCTTTCCCCAGGGGCTTAGTATGTGTTGGGGCATGCTTTCAATAGTCAGCCAGACAGTTTATAATTCTGCCTTAGCCTCCACGTCTTGCTTGTGCAGAGCCTCAAGGTAAGCCAGAGGTGCAAGCTTAGGGCCCTCTCAGGTCTTTCTTGAGTATTCACATAGCCTTAGGCATGTGCACACCCTAAGCATGCATGCTAGATTCTCAGGAATATGTCAAGAGTTTTTCAAAGCTCCTATGACTATCTCATTTCCCAACTAAATACTTTAGTGTGGCTAGAACAAAGAGTGCTCCAAAGTTGAGGGGTTTTTGACCCTTATATTGCATGTTATGAAGAGCCACCAGTGGAATTTTAAGTTAAATAAGGGCATGACAGTATTTGTATAGCACAAGAAGTTTTTGTCAATGAGGTGGAGAATGGATTGAAAGGGGAAAGACTGATGGCAGGAAGATCAAAGAGATTACTGCAGCATTCCAAGGAAGAAGTGTGGAAAGTCTGAGTTAAGGCTGAAGTGAGGAGTATGGAGAAGGGAGAGTGGAGGTGGATTGGAAAAGCTATTATATAGAACAGAGACTTTATGGTTTCTAGAGTAATTAAGTGAGAGGCCAGTGGGGAGAGATGAATAAGAGGCAAGTGTCTATTTTGAGGTTTCTAATTAGGGAACTCAGTTGGAAGATAAGTTTATTCACTGTAAAAAGAGGATACAGGAGGCACAAGTTTGGGAGGAAGCAAAAAGATGTGGATACAAATATAATTAATATAACCTATGAGTAAGATAATTGTGTTTTTAGATAGAAATGTAAATATCTGAGAGGAAGAATTCAATGTAATTGTGTCACTCAAATCACAGCTTTGGATCCAGATGCTGTAATCGCTCCTCTCCATCCAGTAGATTCATCACCATTCTTGATTTAGAAATGTTTTTAAAATGCTTGTCATTTGGAGCATATTTAATAAAGTGACAGCATCTTGGTAAACATGTTGCCCTGAACAGAGACTGTATCTAGACTTAAGAATGTGATATAAACTTGCCAATAGTCATTTCTCCGGTGGTTTTGCTTTTTGAAATCCTTGCAGATAATGGGTAAAACGTAAGCAAACGATCCCTTAAGCCCTGTAAACTACATCGAGCTTAAAATATGTGGTTTGAACATTTGGGAAACGTTACTTTTCCTTGGAATCCAATCCTCGCAAAGTGGTAAAGAAAAGAGGCGGGTAAATGGGACTATGGAAAAGAGCGTCTGACAGTTCCCCTGTAATCACACCACTCACTCTTCCTATTTTGCTTCTCAGATGACTAAGTCAAGTGAACCTTTTAGTTTTTGAGGAGGGTCACAATGGCGACGAACACCAAAACGAAAGGGGTCTGGGCTCTGCAATACTAACAGTTCCATTTCCTAGCCCGTCACCTCGCGGGCTCGATGTGCCGCCGTCCCAGATCTCCAGGGCTGCAGGGGAGCACCGAGGTGGGGAGAGAAAAAGTGGGATGTCCGAGGGGCAAGGGCGGCCCGGGCGCCGACTTCCGCCTCGCCCTCCAGCCGCGCCGTCTGTTCCGTGCTCTCCTCTCGGGACACCCGCCCGACTCCGGAGTCGTCTCCAATTGGCCGTCGGGGGAACGGAAGCCGAAGTAGAGCAGTGAACCCGGAAGTGCTTCGCGGCGGAGGCCCGGGCGACTCTTTTGAATGGAATCGGGCTGATTCATCGCCGGTTCGCGGAGCCAGAGCCGGGTCGAGTCTCAGCCGCCTCCGCCTCCGCGTTCGTGTTCGCGTCAGCGTAGTGGCAACCATAGGGGTCCAGGCCGGGGCATCCTGTCCTTGTCTGCTTTCAGGTAAGACCCAGAAAACAGGTCCGGGAGGTCCGGGAAGGCAGTCGCGGTAGGCCGCTGCCCGCCCCGTGCTTTCCTGAGTCACGTTGCCCAGCCGAGTTGCCACTGGGAGGCCGGTGCCCTGAGGGAGGAGCCCAGGCTCTTTCGTACTCTTCCCCGACTCCCCAGGGTCTCTGGCAGGGTCAGGCCGGGATGTGGTCTCCTTTCTCCATTCGTTTCTGCTTGGCTGAATTCACCACATCTTGGGAATCTCTCTTCCTTGTACAGGGAAAACCCTTGTTTATGGCCTATTTGCCTGTGCTTTGTCGATAGTTGTTCCTGCGTTGAAAAACTTGAAAGCAGGCAGGGAAACAAGGGAGAGAGAATAAAATTAACTTACCCGTTGAATGCATGTTTGCTTTACCATTTGCTCCTATAGGCCTTGACCCTTTTTCTTGGTGTTAGGTTTTCAACTGCCTTCAAAAAATAAAAATCCTCGCAGATGCAGTGGTTGTCAACCTTGAATGTCTTCAAAAGAAAGTGTGGTTATTCCTGCGGTGCCTGTTACCTTACTTTTGATACTGTCCTAATTGAGTAGTTGTTAGTGAATTGATTACATTTCCTGTTTTCAGTAAAGTACAAATCTACTGTGTTACCTCTTGGAACTTAATTTTTCTGGGGATGTAGCTATGTGTCTGTCAAAAGAATAAAAATGTGAACTTTTTGAAAGAGTCGAATATAAATTTAGTGACTGACTGAAACATTCTTGGGATTAGAATGATAACCAAAAGTTGATAAAAGTTCCATGAGAAAAGCAGAGGAGAGGCTTTAAAAATTAGTAGAAATATAATTTAGTGTGAAAATGTTTCTTTTCACTGCTCACAAAAGTATGTTTTTAGTAGTGCTGACTTAATGTGTTTGAGGAAAACAATAAGGCAATAATAATGTTGAAATCACAAAAAACTGAATACAGTTTTAGTGGCGATGATTAACAATGATGACTTTCTTGTCACGTGAGGCTGCCAACTGGCTCATTTAAAATTTGAATTATATATGTTGTAAGCATACTGCATGGGTTATTGTGCATTTATAGAGATTAAGATATAAAGTGGTTCAGAATTAACTACAGTTAAGGTGTGTTTAGTGAAGTAGTATTTTGTGAAAAGCCTGAATGTTGTTTTTAATTTGTCTGAGAATAAAATTAAATCTTGCCAAGAGAAGAAATTTTTGAAGTCATGATCGTTCACTGATGCTTCTCACCTATTGAGTTTGGGAGTTTCTCTCCACTACCCCTGCCCCCCACACACCAAGGTATTTGGTAAATAATTGCCATTCTCATTGAAAAGCTGGATTTTAATTTCTCTGACATGGGTTCATCCTATTTTTAAGCTTGCCATATAAACCTTGTGCCATACAAACCTTGTGCTTAATATCTAGGTTGAGAACCATATGTTTGATAATCAGTAACAAGAAACATTTGTGCTTTTTTTGTTTTCATTTTTATAGCAATGTTTGTTTCATAATTCATTGTCCACCTGTGAAAGTATTGCCCGAATATTCATGTGATTGCTTGCTCATGAACTTGTCATATGCTGTTTGTTGCACTCATTTTGACATTTCATATTCTGCTTTATGATACTTTCCTTACCTCATCTGTAAAATGAGAGAATTTGATTAAATAATCTCTTCCAGTTGTAAAGCAGTAATAATAACAACGGCGTCAACAATGTTTATTGAGTACCTGGGATATTCCAGGCATTATATTGGATACTTTAGACTTATTCTTACAACAGACTTGCTAGGTAGGTATTATCCCCATTTTATAGACGAGGCCTAGAGTCTAGGAGAAGGTAACTTGTTCCAGATCATCTAGTGAGTAGGTACTGGTGAAGCCAGAATTCAAAGCTAGGTCAGCTGGTTCTAGAGGCTTTTCTACTCTACATCGCTGTCCTTTTACTTTACATATTTTTTATGGGTTTATGTCAGTCTTCTCAACCCCAGCCCCTGTAGATTATAAATTCTGTCAGTGCAAGCCAGTAAGTTTTTGGAATACACAAGATAGTATAGTTGGCTCTCCATATCCATGGATTATGGGTTCAACCAACTGCAGGTTGAAAATATTGGGGGAAAAAATTGCGTATGTACTAAACAGGGACAGATTTGTTTTTCTTGTCATTTTTTAAATAATACAGTGTAACTACCATTTATATAACATTTACATTGTATTAAGTATTATAAATAATCTAGAGATTACTAGATTTAAAGTATGCTGGGAGTAATATTAGCATAGGTTATATGCAAATGTTGCACTATACCATTTTATATTAGGGACTTGAACATCCGCAGATTTTGGAATTCAGGAGAGATCCTGGAACCAATTCCCCACAGATTCTGAGAAACTACTCAATAAATGTTTTAATTGGATGCTGAAATTAGGAGACTCAACTGTAGATATTTGTGATAATTCCAATCTCACTCTTCTAAACCGGGGAAAATCTTGCTTTCAAAATCATATTTATATAATTAAGTTTAATGTTGACTGTAGATCTTCCACAGAAAAAAGTCCTTAAGAAAGTGAAAGAGTTCCTGCTTTCCACAAATCAGAAAATAGAGAAATTACAACTACAGTGAGATCACAAATAAAGAATAATTTAAAAGGATTTAGCATCTGTCTGAGAAGTAATCGTATTTAATTGCAGAATGGATTGGGGAGTAAAAAATGAACAGTGAACTAGGAAACAATGATAAGCCTGAACATTAAGAACTTAATGATTTTGTTTGAATTTTATGAATTATTGGGTATCCCTGGTGAAAAGTTTGAAAAGTTGGAAAAAAAATTTCTCAGGTTCCAAATCCAGATTGATATAATTTTGAACGATTTACTTTTTTGAGTTATCCATGGTTCCATACGTTTCCTATAAATATTTGAAATTGATTTATTTTATATTCAGCATGAACATGCTCAAACAATACCAGATTTTAATCAGTTATTAACTTGAGAAATAAAGGAAAAGTGGAAAGTCAACAACCTTTGAAAGTACTGGGGTTTTTTTTTGTACTATTTTTACCAATTAGTGTTCTAAACATTACTGTATGTTTGACATTATATTAGGTATGGACTAATAATGTTTAAAGTTAATTATATCATGAATGAGCTTTTGAGTCTTCTGCTTTTTGATAGGTGTAAAAACTTGGTTTAGATCCATAGACCTTTGTATTGCTTCTATTTCTAAGAATTGAAAGTGTTGTCTTTTATGTTAAATGTGTGTATAACACATTCCCTTTGTGAGCCTTTTTGCTAAGTTCTGGGAATTGCAAGTCCCTGTCTCTTATGTGATTGATTAATTAATTATTTAGATACAGAATTATTTTTAGATACAGGGTCTCTGTCACTCAGGCTAGAGTACAGTGGCACAATAATAGCTCATTGCAACCTCCAATTCCTGGGCTCAAGTGATCCTCCTGCCTCAGCCTCCCGAGTTGCTAGGACTACAGGTGTGTGCCACCACACCTAGCTAATTTTTTTAAAAAAAATTTTGTGGAGATGGGTTCAAACAATCCTCCTACCTCAGCCTCCCAAAGTGCTGAGATTATAGGTATGAGCCACAGACACCCAGCCAGTGTGATTAATGTAGTACTTTGAAATATTCGAGGTGTTTTGAAACCCACTAAGTGACAAACTATGGGATGAAGGAAGGATCTATGTTGGTAGCTATGTTCATAGGATGGTGGTGCTGATGACAGAAGCTAGTGTTTATTACTTATTATATGCCAGGCATTGTTTTAAATGTTTTTTATGTCCATTTTCTTTAATCTTCTGATCAGCTCTATGAGGTAAGTGCTATCATTATCCCCATTTTGTAGGTGAGGAAACTGAGGCTGAGAGAGGTAATTGACCCAAGCATATAGAGCTAGTAAGTGTTAGAAACAGTTTTTGAATCCTGGCACTCTACATGCAGTCATAGCACTTAACCTTCATATGCTAGGAAAAACAGTCATCACTATTTGCCATCTGGGTCTGGTGTACCTTTTTAATTTTTTTACTCCTTTAGGTTAATTTATGAATAATTTATAGAAGTGAAAATAAAGGGACTATGGAAAAAAACTATATTGGAAATGTAAGCTTAAACATAGCAAATACAAATTTTTATTCTGTGTTTTCTTGGTTTTGAAGGTATATGTACCTGAAATGGGCAACATTGTTTGAATGTAATTAATGGCCCATCAGCTATAGTGCATGAAGGTGGAATATATCTGTCCTGTGAAGATCAGTTCCCTATTTCAAATACATCTCCAACAGGCCCTAGCTTATTACTTCTGGTTTTTCTTTTTGCAAGCTGTGTGTGTGTGTGTGTGTGTGTGTGTGTGTGTGTGTGTTTGTGTGTGTTTATGCGTTTACGTGTATGATAAAATATACATCACCTAAAATGTACCATTTTAACCATATTTGGTGTATAGGGACATTAAGTACATGAACATTGTTGTGTAACCATCACCACAATCCATCACCATCCATGAAAACATTGACAGCTCATAATTTTGTTGAAGAGAATGGCTATCATCTTTGCTCTATAATTGCAAAACATTCTTATTTTTAGATTTATAAGCATCAAATAGAGTTAGTTCAGTGATTTTTAAAATTTCTACATTATCTACTTCCTTTAATTCACCTTTTTGTGCACTTCAACATTTGTTGATGGGTAAACTGTATCACCATCATAAAACGTCAAAGAATATGTCACATACCTCTAGCAAAAACTGATTCTTGTTGCAAAATAGTGTATGATGAAGTACTTCTTGAAATACATACTTATCTAGTTAGATAAGAATGTAATTTCTTTTTTGGTCTTAGAAATATATTGTTCACTCATTTGACCTTTTTTAAAAATAATTTATTGAGGAGGAAATTCACATAACATAAAATTTACCATTTTGAAGTGAACAGTTCAGTGGCATTTAGTCTAATTGCCAGTGTTACACAGTCACTACTTCAGTATACTTCCAAGGTAAAATCCCTTACCCATTAAGTAGTTTTTCCATTTTCCTCCCTTCCCCCAGTGCCTGGCAACCATCAATCTGCCTTCTGTCTTTATGGATTTATTGGATATTTCATATATATGTAATCACACAATATGTGACCTTTTGTGCCTGGCTTCATTTATAATACATAGCATAGTATTTTGAGGTTCAGCCAAGTTGTAACATGTATCAATACTTTGTTCCTTTTTATAGCTGAATAACATGCCATACATTCCCTTTTGGGTATATAGTAGAATTTGTTTATCCATTAATCCTTTGGCAGACATTTGGACTGTTTTCACCTTTTGGCTATTGTGAATGGTGATTCCATAAATGTGCATGTAGAAGAACTTGTTTTGAGTATGTGTTTTCAATTCTATGGGATATACCTGTGAATAGAATTGCTAGGTCATATGGTAATTCTATTTTTAACTTTTTAAGGAACTGCAAAACTGTTTCTAGCACTCGCTGGTTAAGTTTGAGAAAATTAATCTAGGATATTGTCATCTCAAGATGCATGGTCTGTGATTTTGTTTATATCAGTGGTTTTCAATTGAGGGTGATTTTGCCCCTCCAGGGGACATTTTGCAAGTTTTGGAGACAGTTTTGATTATCATGACTGGGTAGGTGCTATTGGTATCTATGGGACCAGGGATGCTGTTAAACATCCTATAATGGGCTGGGTGTGGTGGCTCACACATGTGATCCTAGCCCTCTGGGAGGCTCAGGCAGGCAGATCTCTTGAGGTCAGGAGTTCAAGACCAGCCTGAGCAAGAGTGAGACACACACCCCCCCACCAAAAGAAATGAAAAGAAAAAAAAAATGAGCCAGGCATGGTGACGTACTCCTGTAGTCCAAACAACATCCTATAATGTACAAGACAGTCCCCACAACAAAAAGTTATCTGGTTCTGAATGTCAGAAGTACTGAAGTTAAATGAACCTCAGCTTGTACTATTAGTTATATTGTCGTTAGAGACTAGAGTGCTGTTATATATCTCCTTCGCTTACACATTGCGATTCTCTAATAATTGTGAAACTTTTCCTCCTTTTGCCATTATGGGTGGCAAATAAAAAAAATCTGAATGCTCAACTGTGTTCAGTGAAAGCTAAAAAAAAAAAAAAAAGACTACAAAGACAGTGGTCTCTAGTGTTTTATATCTTTTTAAACTGGAATCAATGCTTTGGCCAACATAATAAGAACTGAAGTTTGATGTAATAGGTGTAATTTATTGCATTATTTTAGACAGTCCTTACTCTTCCATTGTATTATTTTTGTCTTTTTTTGTCATAATTGGGAATAATTAAGAAATAATGAACTAATTCCTAGGGTGATAAAATAGCAAACCTTCAAGAAATAAGAAATTAATATCACTAATGTTCTATAATATATCGTGGGTTTTAATAATGGTGTAATGAACCTCTATGGTAATTGCATGAAATAATGAATTTTGTTCTATTTAAAAATATAAGTAAATTTTCTTTTTGTTCTTTGAAAGACCTCTAAAAAGACTAAAACTTATGAAATATCAATCTTCGAAGTTAGTGCTCAAGAGAGAAATATACAAACAAAATCATACAGGGTAGATTTCTATGTTTTTTAGCTCCCTGGGATGGCAGATCATTCCATACTTTCAGGAAATGATCATTAAAAAGTAGTTTTGATATCTAATTCATTTTTAGGAATTTTGATTCTTTTAAAAATTTTGGTATAAAAATTTCCTGCTTAATTATCAAAATAATTGTATATTATTTTATTTACCTTTTTTTAGGAGAGAAAGAGGAAAAAAAATACCTCGGAAAATTATACCTGCCAGAATTAGCAAGAGCTTGTGCTAAGAAGAAATTTGTCAAACTCAACAAATTGAAGCTTAAGAGTTATAATTACTGATCAGGTGAGGTTTAAAAATGTATTTTATGTTTATTCTTTCAGGATATGATAAAGAGATATTATGAAAATGTATTATTTTCAACAGACATCCAATTATGACTGTGATAGATAACCAGATTTTAAAAACTAGTGTGATTTAGAACATTTATCCATATATTTTACTTCCAAATGTTAGTATTTTTATCAAACCTGGCTGCCTTAAATGTTTTAATTTGTTAAATGTTTTTCCTGTTTGCCGAGACATCTAATTTTGCTAAAAAAATGAATTTGACCTGTCAGATTTTCTTTCCCTCTGCTTCCCACATCATTCATGTATATTCACAGCATCTGGAGTCTGTGTAAAGTCATCAGAAACAACAGAGGGGAAATAGATAAACTGAACACAGCTGGGAATCAACTTTGGCCTAGAATGTATATATTCTAAAGTATACTGTATGTTTGTTTTTTTCCGTTGGTTCTTTAGGTTTATAAACTTGAAATGATCCAAAAGAAATTTTTTTAGTCTTTGATAATATATTTTAGAGAAATGTCTTTAATATTATAAAATATACAGGATTTTTTTTTTCTGTCTATAGTCGTTAAAAAGTGCTATGTATTGAATGTCATATTTCAGTTGAGTAATTTTAATGAGAATTTTCTGGAGATTCTATTTGTAAAAGTTGTTCTTAGGAGGATGAGTTAAGATTGTGAAGTGGAAATTTTGTCTGTACTATCAAGTTTTCTTATTTGCCGTTTTATTTTTAAAAATGAATTTTTAAAATTGTGAATCTCACGCACATTGTTTTATGATAAACAAGCCAGACACAAAAAGTATGAGATTCCATTTATATAAAATTCAAAAACAGCAGAACTAATCTGTGCTGTTAGGAGTTGGAATTTTATCACAAGAGACTGGAAGGGGGCTTGAGCAGCATTTCTGAGGTGCAGATAATGTTCTGTTTCTTGAACTAGGTGGTGGTTACATGGGTGTATTCACTTTGTGACAATTCTGTGGCTGTATTGTTTGTGTTCTTTTCTATATGAGGGTTTGAATAAAGTTTGCAATATTAAGATTATTAAACATTAGCAGGGTTGTTACCAGGATTCAACAAACATGTTTAGGCAGTCATATAATAATCATCATAAGTACATTATTGAGTTTTAGTTTGTATAGCAGTTGTAACTAGTAAAATAACATGGATTAATGGTGAAGCTTATCTGTTAACATCTAATTTAGAATATAGCTTGTAATGAAACCATTTTCTAAAGCATATACTTAGGAAGAAGAGAAATTTCAGGGCATAGTAGTAATTTTCAAGTAGAAAACAGTGCTTTTATTTCATTTGTCGAGTAGTTGTACTGCTATTAATTTTTATCATTTGATTATAAGGTTATATAAGTACACTTGCAATTTCTTTAATTTTTTTCTGAGTTTTTCAAGCTTATAACATTATCTTCTGTAGTTATTCTAAACATTAAAAATAAATCAGACTGATATTTCAAAGTTGATTCTCTTCGTTCGTATCTATCAACTCTGAAATTATAATTGAGAATGGTGGCTGAATTTCCTTAGTGAAAAAGGTGTATATTTCCACAACATCTGAAATAGCACAAAATATCTGTGTAAGTTCTAGGACACTATCCTAACGCATTTAATGTTTACACTATAGTATTTCTTTTAGTATAATGAGTTCATTTTTAAAAAGCCTTTGATGCTAATTCAGAGATCCATAATCTGCTCACAATGTCTTTCACATGTAGTTTTGATGATAACTGACAAGCTGTAAGTTAATTAGCACAGAACTTACTAATGAGGATGTTAAAATTTAATTTAAAAGTGAGGTTTTTTATTTGTATACTCTGGACAAATTGAAGGAAATTCAATCATATGTATGATAAGCATTTCAGGCACTTTTTCCTTATTCAGGTACTTTATTAGATAACAATAAGAAAATATAATTAACTTAATGATTGCAAAGTTTTGAAAGTATGCTAAGATTGCTTGTCTTTAAAACTGGGGATAACCCAAAACCAAAGCAGTAAAATAAGGTCTGTTAATTAGCATGGAAGACAGCTTCTTGAATTAATATGTGGTGTTAATTAACAGGAAGTCTGATGTTGTGTTGTAATTACCACCAATATTTTTGACATACTGAGTGACTGAAGGTGAATTATATAGATAGCAATTGAGTAAACACTTTTGTGCTTAGGAACGTTTTCTTTTGTTTCTGTTTTCTAGAAATATGGACAGACTTCTTAGACTTGGAGGAGGTATGCCTGGACTGGGCCAGGTTAGTACATAGACTCTGAGTATTTCTTTGTAAACTATGAGCCTTTCTGTAGTTAGCCAAAGAGAATGAAATCACCCCTAAGAAAAATCACCTTATAGCTTTATGGCAAGAAGCTTACGTTACTGCTGTTTGTAACGCTAAATAACATGTGGAAAACATTTTCTATTTTAACTTACTTTTTCCTGGGAATAAGAATTTTCTCTATTCACTTTGCTTAAAATTTTGGAATATGTGAGATTATCAAATTGCCTTTTAGGGAAAAATGAAACTCAAAATACATTATTTCTAGGTTTATAATATAAATTTTAGATGTAACACATGAAAAAGTAAACATGACATACTCTTTGCCAGAACCAGAAAATGTTTGTATGTTTGGTCTTAACACTGGTACATTGCTGGTAATAATTATGATACATACATGAATTAATATGTTTCAATACTATCATCATTTATCTTGTTCCATGCTGCTCAGCAAATGGCCTCTAGATAGATTTCTGTCTCAGGATATTCACTGTTTTGTTTTGTTTTGTTTTAAAGAAATACAGTCTTACTCTATTGCCCAGGCTGGAGAGCAGTGGCTATTCACAGGTGCCATCATAGTACACTGCAGCCTTGGACTCCCGGGCTCAAGCGATCTCCTGTCTCAGCCTCCCCAGTAGCTGGGACTATAGGCACGTGCCACCATGCACCAGCTTCTACTGCAGGATACTGCTTTCAGCTAAAGAATAATTTCTGCCTTTTTAAAATTCTACATTGATTACCTTTGCAGTCATCCATTTGCTTAATGTTAATTAACAAAAGAGATGACTATATGTTGTTCCCTTCCTGAGACTTTTTGTAATGTATTTTATTAGAAAATATTTTTATAACCCCCTTTTAGAACCCTTTTAGTTGCCACCTTTCCCTCATTTCTATTTCACTATCAATGACTTTCTCTTTCTTTATTGAAAGTAATTTATATTTAGTATAAGAAACATAGTTTTCGATTGAGACTTTGTGAAATTCTCAATGTTGTAGAGGCATTTTTATAAGAACTCTTTAATTAAGTATATCATGGTTTATTACTTTTAGAAGTTGAAAATTTTTTTGTGGTACTATATTGCATCCTTGAATAAATTCCTATTTTCATTTACTTTTGTTTTATTTCTCATGTTTAGATTATTTCTCATGTTTCTTTGCTGTCAGCCTATTTCTTCATGATTCTTCATTTTTGTAACATATTTGTAACCCATTCTCTCAAGAGGACTATACCTCTCTGAACTTGACCCTTAAGCTGTTTCTATTGTTTTGTAAACATGCTAGATTGATTCTAGATTTTCTCTAATTTATTCTGAAATTAGTAATAATGTTAAGGCATATAAAAATGTCAGGAGTTAACTGAGATTGTATGTAGGTACTGTAAATTTACCTGCAAATAATTATAAATAATTATAGGTACAGACGTTGCCTTAGCATTCTTAAGGAAAATTGCATCAAATTTAAATACTGAAATAACTTAACCTTAAGCACAGATAGAATAAAATGACCTACTTTTAATTCTCTTTTAACTAGACTTCAGTATTTCACACTTACTATCTTAAAACTTTCTCTTCGATTAGCTTTTATCATGCTTCCTTTTTCTAGTTTTCGTTATAGTGTCCATACCGATATATCCATCTTAGACATCCATGTTGCAGAATTGCTGGATATGAAATAATAGTTTTACTGACCACAAATTGAGCTGCATCATATCTCAGTGACTACTGCAAACCATTGTATAAAGTGGAAGTCTAAATATTTAATAATCTCTCATTGATTTCTGATTATTTAATCAGCCCTTGTGTCCTCAGTTTGTCTCTTTAATTTAAAAATATGTTATTTAAGAATCTGTTATTTCAAATATATATATCATCTCCTCAATTAGATGACAACCTCTTAAAGGAATAATTTTTGGAGTTCTTATTTCTATGATATCTCTTATACTAGATGTTAAGTTATTTTTTTCCTGAAATTTTATTTTACTCTTGTTCTAGAACTGATTTGACAAATACTTAACAGTGTTACTTCTGCAACATGAAATGTTAAGTTCATTTTTTGAATAAATGAGAATAAAATGTTAAGGATATTGTTTATTTTTAATAAGAAGTTGAAGATTTTTGGGTTGATCATAGCTATCTTTTCATTATATAAGGCTTAGCAACCAGTAGTAGTGGAAAAGGGGACATAAGTTGGTCTTTCCCTCAAAAAATCAGTGGGAAATGTTAATATCTTACCATATAATGTAAAAGTCAGAATTCTGTCACAAATAGGAGCAGGTCTTTTGCTGGTACGTTGGCAGGTGGTCCTTTTAAGATGTGGGAATAGATAGGAGCAGAACAGGTAAAGGCCATGTATAATTTCATGAGAGTCCCTTTGTGATTATTTAATGTTAAGAGTTGAATAGAATTTTGTTACTTTTCAAGAATTTATTTTCTTGATTGAATAATGAGAACCATGGATATTTTATGAGTGAATAGGCCATCTTAAATCGTTGTCTATTGAATAACCTAACTTTGATGTAAGAAATGTCCAAGACTTTTTTAACAATGTTCAATAGTTGCTGCTTTATTGGCTTAAAGACATTTTGTTTCACTCCCCATTGGATATATTGCAATACAGCTCTGACATTAACTCAGAGTTAGTATCAGACTTCACACACGTTAAAGGCTCAGTCCTTCACAAGACTGCCTTTATTTCAGATGCCAGCCACATTTCAGGTGTCCCTAAGGCATCCACAATTTTGACCAATGCTTTGATATGGCTATAAATTTGGATGTCCCCATGACACATTTAGGTTTGATAATTCACAAGAAAAATTCACAGAACTCAAGAGGGCACTTATACATAATGATTACAATTTTATTATCAAGGATACAGATTAGGAGCCCAGTGAAATGAAGACACATAGGACAAGATCTGGGAGGAAACGCAGAGCTTCTGTGCCCTCTCCTCATGGAATTAGGTACCCTCCCTACACATCAGTGAATTCACCAGCCAGGAAACTTCATCTGTTTCAGTGTAGCTTCAGTGTTTTTATTGGGACTTCATTACATGGGCATGACCAAGTGAGTCATTGGCCGTGTGATTTAACTCACATCTCCAGCCTCACTTCCTTCCTCCGAAGTGAGCCAAGCTTGAAGTCTTAACCCTCTAATCACATTGTTGGTCTTTTTGGTCATCAGTCCTCATCCATAAGTTATCTATCAGCCAACTTTGAGTTACTTCATTAGCATAACAAAGATGATCATATCACTAAGGAAATTCCAAGAGTTTTTGAGGTTTTTTGCCAAAAACCCAGGATAAAGACTGGACATTATTATTTGTTTTCAGCCTTGACTACATTATTTGTGTGGACATAATTCAGTATTTCATTTGAATTTTTCTTGTACCATTATTTGACACTGATTTTTGTGTCCTGTTTCCAAGAGACATGATCCAATATGTAGGCATAATGCCTTTAATATAACCCAGTAGTAGTAAGAAGCTATTCAAGCTTTGCTCTGTTTGCCAATTGGCCATTTTTTTTAAATGGAGGAGTTCACAGTAATAATACAGGCATACCAGTGTTATCATAGTGGATACTGGTATTTCATTGTTTGTGAGGTCAGTTGGCCTTGGTGGTTTTATTTGGGAGTTATATAGTAGGGTTACTGGGTAAAAAAGGAACTTGCAAATAAAGTCTCTATCCATTCTATATCCATATCTCTTAACTTTCTTTAAGTAAGAGCTAACTTTTCTCTTCCAGGGGTAATCCTTCCACTTATTCTTTGATCCTGTTCTCTTGAAACCTTGCTTATCTCCACTGACTCATTTCTTTGACTACAAAAATGTCAAAATCTCATGTATATAAAAAATAAAACTCTATTGCATCCTGCCATTATTATTTATTTATTTATTTATTTATTTATTTTTTGAGACAGAGTCTCACTTTGTTGCCCGTGCTAGAGTGCCATGGCGTCAGCCTAGCTCACAGCAACCTCAAAACTCCTGGGCTTGAGCAATCCTTCTGCCTTAGCCTCCCCAGTAGCTGGGATTACAGGCACATGCCAACATGCCCGGCTAATTGTTTCTATATATTTTTAGTTGGCCAATTAATTTCTTTCTATTTATAGTAGAGATGGGGTCTCAGTCTTTCTCAGGCTGGTTTCGAACTCCTAACCTTGAGCAATCCGCCCACCTTGGGCTCCCAGAGTGCTAGGATTACGGCTGTGAGCCATCGCACCCGGCCTGCATCCTGCCATTAAATCTTGTCTTCCATTTATTTCTAGAATTCCTGAAATAATACCTTAAATTCACATTCTACTTCTTTATTCTCATGAGACTATATTCTGTTCTCCTCTTTTATTACTATACTGGAATTGATCAAATTGCCAAGTCTGTTGGCCTACCTTTTTAGTTCTCTTTTAACTAGACTTCAGTATTCCACACTATCTTGAAACTTTCTTTTCCGTTACTTTTTTATCATTCTCCCTTTTCCTAGTTCTCATATGGTGTCCATACCTACAAAACAACTTTAAAGTTTTCTTTTTTGTAATATCACATATTAAAATGTTAATATGTGAGTAATGATAGGCTAAAAAAGTTAAATTAGTCCACAGTGCTCTACTTTAGTATAACTTATCAGTTGTTTGAAGCAGAAACAAATAGATGTTTTATTAGTACTATTAAAATAATAGTTTTAGATTTCAAATGTATTATTTTAATTAGGTAAAATGTCAGTGGCATTTAGGACCTCGCCTTCGGTTTTAATTTGTTAGGCCAATATTTTGAGTTTCTGTGTGTCAGAGGTGTTATGCTGTAGGGAATATCAAGATGAACAAGAATGTCAATACTGAAACCAGGGGCCTTACATATAAATAATTATGTTTTAAGTACCTGCCACGTAGTAACTACACTGAATGAGTGTAAACTAGTGCTTGTTGTAAATAATGTGATTTCTAAGTATAATGAAGGTAGGCTTTACTTCTTTTCACAAAAAGGGA